AAATGTACTTCCTAATGAGAATGAACTTTTTTCTCACAAATAGTAGATTTTTTGTTAGATATTATTATATATAAAGTGAAACCTGATGGAACCTGGAGAGATGGCTCAGTGTTTAAGAACACAGTCTACTCTTGGAGAAGAAACAAATTCCATTCCCAGCCACCACATTGAAGCTAACAAGAGTCCATGCCTCCAATTCCAGAGATCAATGCATTCTTCGGCCTCAAAAGGCAATGTGCCCATGGGTGCTCTTGTATACATGAAGGTATAACACTCATACACAAAAAAATAAATAAAACAAAAGTAACCTAATAATAATGTGCACAAAGCAAAGTACAGATAAATGTAAAACTTTCCCCCCATGACTCAAAAAGAAATGAAGAAAGTAATATTAAATTTATAAAATAGAGCTAGGGTATATATAGCAATTGTATACAAGTGCTATTGATAACTGGCTACAATTTTCCTCATCAGAATTCTAGATCTGCAAAAAAATGTCATGCATACTTTAACTGGCCATTAATCATCATACTTCTACAATACTATGATCACATATCATGATCAAGTAATGACAAAATTACTTCCAGAAATGTAATATAGTATTTGTCTTTGATAACACAGTTTTTTAAACATCCTATGTTAATTACTTTGTCAATAATATTCAGCTGGATAAACTGATTAATTTTCTATGAATTAAAATGTGTTGTTACTTGGAATATGACATAAGAGGTTTTCTGTGGGTAACAGGTTCTGTGGAGATTTGATGGCAAGAAACCAGACACCCTAGGATCCAATACTCGACTGTACAAGTGGATCCCCCAGAATGACCTTCTCGGTAAGGCTGAAGTCAATAAAGAGTAAAAACAAAGGCAACAACTGACGAAGAAGATGCACAAACATACTATAAATGTTTTATATTTATTTTCATAATTACATAATGGAAAATAACAAAAACATTGTCATTTTATTATACATCATCTTCCCAATGGCTAAAATCAAAGTATCTTTAGTTCAGCTATGTACTAACCACCCCAAAAATTATTCAGGGACTCATTGGATTGCTCCTGTCTCTTGTTTCATGATTCCTTCTCCTACTAGAATAGTATTTCATATGCTACTGAAAATAACAGTCTCTTGTACTGCACATTCTGTGCAAAGAAATTCATAGTCTTTACTACATGAATGGTTAACTTATGTTGAGGAAGTGTAGCCTGGTTGTCCTTGGATTCCACTATTCAATATCCCACTGGCTTGTACTCCACACATACCAGACATAATGCTCTCACTGTTTTTTAAGAAAATATCTTGAACACCTCACACAGGGATTTTTTTCAATTGATACATAATGCTTCTTTAATGCAAAATATCATTTTTCATTGTTTCATCTGGAAATCTTGTTTTCCTTTTTCATGGAGTCATATACTACCTCTTGCAGGCAGTCTTCCTCTTCCCATGGATTTAACAGCTTCTTGATTTAAATATCTGAAGCAATTTTATTATAATTTTATGACTAGAATAATATAATTTTTATGGAGCAACACCTCTCTTTAATCCTTAGATTGAATTTCTCTCTAATAAAATAATCCTGTGAAAATTCTGCACATTGTAGGTCATCCAAAAACCAAAGCTTTTATAGCTCATGGAGGAGCTAATGGCATGTATGAGGCAATCTACCATGGTATTCCTGTGGTGGGCATTCCCTTGTTTGCGGATCAACCTGATAACATTGCTCACATGGTGGCCAAAGGAGCAGCTGTGAGATTGGACTACAGCACACTGTCAACTACAGATCTTCTCAGTGCCCTGAGGACAGTCATTAATGACCCTTCGTGAGTATGCCTAATTTAAAACATATTTATGAGAGGCAAGATGGAGCAAACAGTACAGCATTTAAGAGTCCTTGCTTATCTTTTGTAGGACCCATGTTTGGTTCTCAGTATTCATATCAGCTGGATAACAAGCACCTGTAAATCCAGTTCCAAGAGTTCTGATGTCCTCTCACCTATGAAGGACATCTGCATACACATGGTACACATAAACTCATATAGGTATACATATATACACATAAAGAATAAGTCTTTAAAAATAGTTATAGAAAGATTCTCAT